GGAGGGGGGAGGGGGGAAATGGCAGAATGGGGGCAATTTGAATCCCCCGGACACTAGCACCTGGATGTGTTTGTCAAGGGAAATCAATTCCTATTTTGCCTCCGTGCTTTTTCTCTGGGGAAACTCCGTGCTAGAAGCTGATGAGCAGGCTTTGGGTGATTTTCCATATAATTGCCTGTGGGTGAATTTGTTTTTGTATTGAAGAATACTTTGGCATTTGAAACTCTTATTGCTGCTGTTGTTGGGTGGGGGATGCATTGTATGGCTTGTGGGTGAATGAGGGAGGAGGAACTGGGTGGAAGGTGGAGACTGTGACAGTTGTTCATGCTTCCTTTGAATGGATGTATTGCCAGGACTGGAAAGTAGCATGGGTATTCTTTCTATTTAGCCGCTGCCGCATCTATGCCTTTCCTTTTATTTATTTATACTCCGTTGTTTGTGGGGGCAACTCTGAGGATTTTGTCTTGTTTTTTTTTTTCTCCCTTATTCTCCTTGAATGCGGGGCAGTTTGGGTGTGCAGGTAGATAGCTGCAAGGGAGGACGGGGGAGGGGGAGATGCTGCGGTGTGCGTCGCGCGTCTGTCGGGCCGCCTCCCTGTTGGGTTACCCGCTGCGCCGGGCAGCCGCGATGGAAATGTTGTACGGCGGTGTGCGTGTGCAGCACCTTGCACAGTCGCCGTTCTCCCTCCGGAAGACGCAGTCAGAGGCGCTTCCGTCCCCGTCGCTGCAGCGCGAGCGGGACGATCTGGAGCTGGAGGTGAAGGACTCTGCCAACAATGTGATGGGGCTCCGCCTTTTCCCCATTAACATTGGGATGCGGGCGAGGAACGAGGCGGTGCGGCTGCGAAGCGAAGACTGCTACAAGCGACTACTGGCACAGCGGCAGTGTGCAGAGGTGGGCGAGGCGCTGAAGTTTCCCGTTCCGTCGAGCCTTTCCGCCGGTGAGCACAAAGACGCCACCGCGTCTAGGCAGCTTTACGCAACGCATTTTCACCCACCATCGTCCAGGCTTTCCATCCTTACCCGGCCCGTTGACTGTAGCGACTGCAAGGTGAAAACAACACCATCCGATGTTGCGGTATATCACCCTCGTGCATGGAGACCCTTGCAGATGTTAAAGCCGATGCCGCACAACTGGAGCCCCACACTGCGTTCCTCTGGAGTGCGCGGGCCGCACATGCAGCTTATGCAAGAGCGACTGGATGGAAAGGGATTTGGATGGAAACGCAAATCCAGATTTCTGTGGCAACAAGATATTGATACCGCTGGATTTAGGCCGAAGCGCTTCTTTTAGAAGTTGGAAGAGAGCGCTGCGTGAAAAACGTGTGGTGTTCGAATTATGGGGAGATGGATTTGCCAGAGGAGATGCATGATGCGTGGATTGCAGTGCCTTTGGCCGGGTTTTTTCTCCCGTCTCTGGTGCTTTCCCCGTTCTTCCCAACTTTTTGGTGTTTGTTGAATGAGTACGGACGTGTTCATTCCTGTTTGTTTGTTTTTTGGCGAGAGGGCGACTTTGGACCGCACTCTTCTTCGTCTGCTGCTGCTGGTGGTGGTGGTGGTGTTTTAATTATCCGATTTTTTTCCTTCTTTACTTTTCTTCTTTTTCCCTTGTAGTTTCTTTGTCTTTTGACGCCGTGTTCACTCACGTCATTGGTGGCACGGTTTTTAGCTGTCCGATCCATATTTTTACAAGGAAAAGCACACAAAGGACCTGCCACTGTAAGCATAGGCCCGTAAGTAACACAAAAAGTCCTTTAAAGGAAACAAGAAGCAAAAGGGTAGAAGACACATAAGTATCGGAAGATTATTTTGTTCTTTATTTCATCCTCTTTTCTTTTTTGTTGTTTTGTTTTTTTGTTTTTGTTGATTTTTTTTTTCTACATTTTCCGTCTGTCTCTCATTTATTTCACCATCTCTGTTGTGCTTTTGTGTCTGTGTGTGCGCCTGTGTTTGTCTTGAACCTTCTGCGCCTTCGTCGTTTTACTTCATTCGTCGATCTGCCTTTGCCGCCCTTTACCGGTGCCGTTCGGTTGGGCTGCTTGTTGGATTGTCTTCCTTTCATTGACCCAATCATTTTCCACGGGAGGGATTGTGGAGTACTGCGAGCAGCACACCGCAACCCATCACCGTCACAAGCAACAACAATAACAAAAAAAAAACGAAAACAGCAGCGCCGCCGACTTTTTTTTATTTTTATTTTTCGCCAGTGCACATTACAGCCGAGCAGAAGGAGGGAAAAGAGGGAAGTCACCAACTACGTGCATCGGAGGGGGCGTCTTTGAATTTGACTCAACCTTTTTTTTTTTTTGACGTGCAGCGTGAGTTGAGGAAGCGGGGGGGAAACACATCGGTTTAAGGATCAAGTCGGTTGCTGAGGGATAAAATTTAGCTGAGCTATTGTGTGTGTGTGTGTTTGTGGGAAAGAAAGAAAGAGCGCAGAGTACTTTTTCCTTTTCCCAGCGGGCAGGACCTGTTAAAATTATGAACGCCAATCTATTCTACACGCAGCAACGGCCTGAGCATCAACATCACGGCCCGCAGCAGCAGCAGCAACAACCCGCGGGTTCGGGGTTTTTACTTCCCGCGGCTCCGTTTACTGCGGCGGGGCCCGGAGCCACGAATGTTTTTGCCGGCTTTTGTATGCCGCCAAGTGCCCCATGTCCACAACAACAACAACAGCAACGGCAAGAACAGGGACAGACGCTTGAAAGCAACGTGGCAGCAGCAAATGGCTTGTTGCTTGCCACACAACTTGAAGCAAAGGATGGAAGACGTGGCACCGCCTCCTTTTCAGGGGCAATACCTGACGTGTCCAATTCAATCTGGGCAACGCAGGAGCCAAATTCCTCGACGACAACAGCACTTCAGAGTTTGAACGCTAGTAACTCGATAAACTACCCTCCTTTTGGCATTAAGTACATGGTTTCACCAACCAATGCGTCTGCATCCACTCAGGAGACACCCAATCAAACGTACCTGTATCCAGTTTCTATGCAGTCCGAGGAAGCCGCCCCAGCTCTTATGCTTCTTCCAACTGGAAGCAAAGATGGATCTAGCTCTATGAGTCCTGCGTACTATGTTCTGGTAAACTCTCCTCAAGCCTCTGGAGCTATTCACTACACAAACGGTACTATGCAGCCCCCTCATCCAACTTCGTTTATTTTGGGGGCCAATTCATCAACAAAGACGACAACGACCAATTCATTCAATGCGGCACAGCAGCCCTCTCCATTTCGGATGCCCGTGGGACAACAAACTCAAGGTGTTTCCAGCAACTTGGGCATTTCTTGGCCGCCTCAGTTCGCATCCAATATGGCCACAACGACAACAGGGGTGTTCCCTGGGCTGATTGAAAACCCAAGACCTCCGCAGGTGGATAGTGCGGCCTTTCCGTCTCATGGCCAACGAGCCTACTACACGAGCGCTGTCTTCACTCAGTCACTAAACTCCACGCCATCCCCCACGTTGTGTGGTCATCGACGTCCTCCGAGTGGGAGTGGACCTGCCGAAGGTGGCACAATGCGGAGTCGGAGCAGCAGAAACAGTGGCACCAGCATAAACAGCATCGGTGCTGGTGGCAGTGGCGGCCAAGAAATGGAGCGTCGTGGAGGCCTGCCGTTTGAAGAAGATCCCATCCCTATTGACACCACCAAAACCCAGCTGATAGTCAACTTTTTGCCGCAGTTTTTAACCGACGATGGGTTCCGTGAGCTCTTCACCCCGTTTGGTGAGATCCACACGAAACCAACAAAAATCATTTACGACAGGGGGGCCCGGCGCGGCAAAGGCTACGGATTTGTATACTACAAGGATGGCCGCAGCACGGAGGCTGCCATCAAGACAATAAACGGGCTCTCACTGGGTGGCCGCAGGCTCAAGGTTCGCTATGCCGATCAGCAGCGGGGCAAAATTGATTGCGACAGCTGCGTGGACGAAGAAGAGAAGGAATAAACCGTCGAGTAGACACCAGGGGATGTCGGGGCACAAGGAAGCCCGCCCCTCCAGCAAGTATGGCGGTACTCAAATGGATTCAAAAAGAGGCTGCGGCAATTGGGTGTAGCCAAAGCAAAAAGAAAGAAGGAAAAGAAATTTTGAAGGAAGTAAGAGGACGAAAAAAAAATTTTTAAGCTTTTTTTTTTTTATAAAGTCATGACAAAATTTAAAGCAAAAGCAAAAAAGAAGAAAAAAAAGGCACAAAAACACAAGAAGGAAAAAAAGGATAAATAAATATAAATATATACGCAAAAAAAAAAAAAGGAAAGGAAAAAAGGAAAAAAGAGAAGAAAAAACCGAACAGAATTGAAAAAAAAAAAAAAAAAAAAGAAGAAGAAAAGAAAACATAGCGATGACGGATATATTTATATATTTATATATTTATAGAGAGAGACGGTGTTTTTGTTTGTTTTTTCTGTTCGTTGCTGTTATTGTTGTTGTTGTGATTTTTGTTTTTTGGCCATTTTCATTTGGCGTCATCATGGATGACACGTGGTTGTGCACAGACATTGTTGTCGGACCTTTTTTTTTTTTATTGTCCTTTCTCCGCATTCCTTCCTTACTTTTTTGTTTTTTGTTTTTGTTTCTTTGGGATTTCTCTTCCTTTCATATTGTCCCGCCACTCGCATAGGCAGAACAATGTGTGTTGTTTTTGTTTGTTTGTTTTTTTGGACCGATGCGCGGACTCGTCGCTTTGTATACGAGTCGGACACGTTTTCTCTTCCTGAGCAAAAAACGAAAAAGGGAGGAGGAGCAGAAAAGAAAAGATAAAAAATAATATTTTTTTTTTTTTTTTTTTTTTTTTTTTTTGGGGGGGGGGGGGGGGGGGG